TCCCACCCACCTGGGACGTTTGTGTCAGAATCTCAAACAAAAAAGTGATGGAGCGCAAATGAGAAAGCTGCAGCGAGAGCAAAAGTCTGATCATTGAGAAAGAAGAAACAAGAACTGCAAACAAAAACATATGTTAAAACAAAGAAAAAATACTTATAATTTACATGATTACACAAATGATTTGTTTGCAACTTTTATTTTTATTTTTGAAATTTATTTTATTTTGCTTGACTCAGTTTTTTTTCTTTTAAACTCATAGTTTTGCTTTATTCTGAGAAAGTGTTGCTTTACCTTTATGATACAAAACTAATCCCACTGTTAACGGAAGTAGCTAACACAAATACAACAGGAAATAAATGCTTTCTGTATCTAACTTTAAACTTGAAAATGATTCTTGTAACCTACAAATTCCCTATTATTTATGTATTCTGTTGAATAAAGAGTAAACAACGATAGTAAAGAAAATGTATATTAGAGATAAGGTGGTTTTATTTTATTTTGAAATGTCCAGCCGGAAGCTGCGTTTGACATTCACTCTGACTTGATGCAGGTCAACAACAGCTGCTTTTGCCAGTAGTTGGCGATGTGACATGTACGTCAACCAACCTGTGTGAGGTTTACAAGTTGTGTGTGTGTGCGCTATCCGCCGTTTATCCATGGTGTTGCTGTGAGGTGAACTGCACACTCTGAAAAGGTAAGTTAAAGACATAACTACATGTTCCCTTACTGAAAACTCATGGGAGAGAAGTTTTCTATGGTCGCTGTATCGTTACTTCACCAATGAGCTTTCCTACTATGCTAGGTGGTAGAATAGCTTACCTTCGCTAGCTAGCTAACGTTAGACTGTCTTGTCCCAGAAACAAACGTAACGTAAAGTCACCGACTTCCCTCTCAGCATGTGTCAACTTCTATTTAGCAATAATCGCTATTTGCAAGTTTGCTGCTTCGAATGGTTGCCAACGAATCAATCTCAATGTGCAGGAGTGTTAGCATGCTATGCTATGTCAAAAACTTTTGGGAGTGCAGCCTGAGAAGAGGACTGTGTAATACATGCGTTACTGCTCTCCTTTTTATATGACTTCTCAGCTAAATGACATGCTAAGTGAGGATTTATGGCCACATTTAGCATACAATTTCAAACACCAAGCCATTTCTTATTGTTTTGATGTATCTCTAATGTAGTTATACTTATATGCCATATGACAGTTGCCATAACTGTACTTGTAGTAAGGAGGTGGATGCTCAGTTAACCACCGAGACAGATAATGGTAGTACGAATATTGTTATGCTAAGTAATAAGCTGAGAATTGACTTGTCTTAATGTGGGTTGGTTTGTTTTTTGTTACTGTATTACTGTGACACGTAATTCAGGTGCAGTTTTTAAAGCTCTTTTATCAGCATTGTGTGTGTTTTGACACTTTATCTTAGGTCATCTAACTGGGAAACATCCAGCGTTCAGTAACATTGGTTTGTGTTATTTACTGGTTCCCTGCTTTTTATTCAAATAAAGGCATTTCTTTAATGAGGAATGTCCATCTCTGAATGTATTTTGCACATTTCTATATATCCCTTCCTCTCTAAAACTCTGCACAGCCCTCCACTTTCAAATACAATATACTGCAGTTGTCATATATTCATTGTACTACGTTTATTAGTTTATTTTGTATATTTATATTTGGTGTAAATACATGTCTTTATTCTTTTTTTCTATTTTGTTTATGTATCAATATATTTTGTACCTTCTCTTACAACTTATTTTCTTATCTTTTGTATGTTTGCACCACCATACACCAAAGCAAATTCCTGGCAATAAACTAGATTCTGATTCTTTAAAACATTGTGATAACATCAACTTCCTTCACTATCCTTAACTCCTCTCCTTCTTACCATCGTCGTTGTTCCCCCTCTTGCTTGCTGCTCCTCCCGTCTCCCTCCTCCTCTCCCTGGCCTCTCCTCTGGCTCTCCTGCTGCTTCCACAGGAGCACCATGGCGATGTGGATCCAGGCCCAGCAGCTGCAGGGGGAGGCGCTGCATCAGATGCAGGCGCTGTACGGCCAGCACTTTCCCATCGAGGTGCGACACTACCTGGCCCAGTGGATAGAATGCCAGCTCTGGTATGTCATAGACTTTGATCTTTGCTTTTATTCAGATTTCATATAAACAATATTGTTCTTTCTTCAGATTGGAGCTACATGTTGCTGGATTTGAAAGAAACATTACATCCAAAATATGTTATGATTTAAGGTTCAATGGCTTTTTTGTACGCAGAATAGCTGCAGCATAGTTTTGGCATGGAGAATCTGTAGTCTCAGGCTCCTCCAACAATGCAACATACAATCAAATAATTCTTATAGTGCAAGCAGAAATAGAAACAAAATCGTGCAAGAGAATAAGATAAGATATACTTTATGGATCCCAAATTGGGAAATGTTTTCGTTACAGGAGCATGTTAAAACAAGGCCTTGCACATCATTTGAAAATAAAAAAAGTGTATAAAATAAATAGAAATATCTCAAAATCAAGTAAAATTAAAAAGTAAAATATAAATGATGGTAACAGGTAGCTGTGCAAGTGTAATACAATCACAATATAATATATAATCTGGCATGATAGAAAAAATACCTTTTTAACGATTGCCCTTAAAATACAATTGTAATGATAACAATCTAATGTGCTAATGGCTACATTTGGGAACCACCAAAGGCAGCTTCACTACTGTCCTTTCCCACAAGAATATGTTTTTGTATACTGTAGCAGTATTCATGAGGTTTTTACATTGACAATTAATGTTCAGCACATTTGTAATTGGCTTGTAATTTAAATATAAAGTACATTTGGAAAAAAATTAAAATGTGATCTCACAGGGATTCAGTGGAGTTGGACAACCCAGTGGAGGAAGCCAAAGCGAAGCGTCTGCTGGACAACCTGGTGTCTGAGCTGCAGAGGAAAGCCCAGCTGCAGGGAGGAGAGGACGGCTTCCTGCTCAAGATCAAGCTGGGCCACTACGCCAACCAGCTCAAGGTAGCAGCCTGCCCTGCAACATTGTTTTACCCCTCACTAGGTCAGGTGAAACACGCTGGTGCTATTAACATAAAAGCTGAAGTGCTATACCATCAACTGGTTTGGGTTAGGATTACGGTTAGGGTCACTGGGTCTGTCAAACCAAACTGTAGCCTGGTTTTTAAACAAGGGGACATTGTAGTTTTGTCAGAAGTTGGTGCCATTGGCTGTAAGCCGTAAGTAAAGGTTACAAACTGGAAACAAAAGAAGTCACCTTGGCCATCTCACCCATCTAAGAGAGAATAACAAGGAGAGAGCTCTTCAGGATATTTTTTTATTTGGGCAAGTTTTAATTGTCCTACATTGTACTAGTATTAGCCATGATTGCAATTGTAAGTACATAATATATGTCTACATTGTTTAGTTTATGTTTCATTGTGGTGAGATCAGAGACAAAAAGGCAGACCTCTCCGTGACAGGCTAGATGTCAGGTTAGGCTAGGTCATCTGTCCTTGCAAAGATACCATGTGATGCTGACTGATGAAAGTGATGACCTGGCTGGCTTGTTATTTGCAAACTGGTGACCTACATTAGTTCAAAATCAGTATATTGTTGGGGGTATGACAGAGAGTGGTTAAGAGAAATGCATGACAGGCTAGGCCAATTTCATGATATGTATTAGCCTGTATGAGTCTATAACGTTTTTGGAACCTCTGCTATAGGTAATAAGGAATTACCGATATTAAAAATGTCCTTTAAAACTGTATTGCATTAAAGGTTATCAAGAAATAATTCAGAGCATTCACATATCAGCAAAACAATTTGAATTGAAAGAGCTGAGCCATAGAAGTGAGCACGTCATAAAGTGCACTGGCTCTAAATTGATGGTATGGTATTTGATCTAACTAATGTTAATCATCGGCGGTGTGATGTGTGCGTGTTTTGCAGAGCACTTATGACCGCTGTCCTCTGGAGCTCGTGCGCTGCATCAAACACATCCTACACTCAGAGCAGAGGTTGGTTCAAGAAGCCACAAATGTAAGTGTTAAAGGAGAAGTGAATGTGTGTTGTCATTGCAGAACTCCTGTGAACTCACGGTACCTTCCCCAAATTGTCGCTGGGTTAAGATTGACATCTGGGAAAGGATATCTATGAACAATAAATGACATGTACTAGTAGTAGTAATAGAGTCATGATATTGGTAGAAGCAAACAAAAAACATCTACACTTTTTAAATGTTGTGTGGATAGGCCAGCTCTGGGGGTGGGGGGCAGGCCATGGACAGCCTGTCGCAGCGCCATCAGCAGATCAACCAGTCCTTCGAGGAGCTGCGCCTGGCCACACAGGAGACGGAGAACGAGCTGAGGAAGCTGCAGCACAGCCAGGAGTACTTCATCATCCAGTACCAGGAGAACATGCGCATCCAGGGTGAGGCTGAGGGACACACACACACACACACAGAGATGTGTTAGGACCAAATATAACTATAACAACTATAACTATATGTTTTGGAATAAGTTCAATACAAAGTTATTTACGTTTCTTATTTACTATTGTCTTATTGGATTTTCCACATTGAAACACTTACAAAAAACAACAACACTGAACGTATATGACAACGTATATGTGTCAAAAGAACAACATGATACCAAAAATAGGAATAAAATGTCTCACACGTACATATACAGATCACAATAATGTGAAATATAACATCATTTTTTGGTAATTCATTAATTCATGGGAAGTTCCATTCCATATTTGAACACAGATTATCGAGAAAATATGTTCATCATGTTCAACATCACCAGCCCATTTGACTAATCTGTTAGTTGGAAAACGCACTACAGCCCGGTCCTCAATAAAAGATCGCAGATTCACTTTCTTTCCCAGAAGTGAACATTGTTTTGTGGTATGTGTTGTTTGTAATGTTTCCTGCTACTCGTCCTGTTAGCCCAGCTGAGCAGCCTGTCCACGCTGCCTCCAGCTGAGCGCACCCAGAGAGAGACCACCCTGCAGAGCAAGAGGACCACTGTGGAGACCTGGCTCACCAGAGAGGCCAGCACACTGCAGAAATACAGGCTTGTATGGAGACAACACTCACACACTACATTAACGCAGGCTAGGAAGGAAAGTTTCTACTCCATTTATTCTTTTCGGTCTCATGATTATTCCAACAACCTTTTGAATCCAATATTTTACCCTGATGACTTATTAGGACATGATCAAATGTCCTTCTGCACATGATATTATCACATTGTAGTTTTGTGATCATAAATATGCTCATTCATCATATTCAGAATCAGATATACTTAGAAATCAAGTTGATCTCTCTGGTGAAAAACAAATTGGTGCATGGGAAAATAATGTGTTATAGATTATATTTTTTCCAAGAGGACCTGAACAAGGAAAGATTTGAGCACTCGTGATTGAGCAGATATTGTTAGTTTGGGCTACATCAGGATAATTCATTTCAGCCCGCCTAAGAATACAAAAAATCATATTAACCCAATCAGTAATAGCTTTTTCATCCTGGTTCTCTGTCATTCTCACCTTCTTGCAGTTATATTCAATTGATTTCATAAATCAAATGACTATTTTTCATTTATGTAACTTACTTAATGGTATGTAAATTGGAAAGCCAGTTTCAAAATGGTTCTTTCTGAACATCCACAGTGAGGAAGAGAATGGTGTCTGGCCATACTGTGTGTATGTGCTCTTGTGCATGGGTAATGTTTGTGGCTTTCTTCAGTAATCTGATTTCTGATTCTTCTGAATTTCTTGGTTTCTATCATCATCATTATATGTATTTTAGTCATCACTGCAGCAGAAGATTTTCATCAGTCATTTCACATCCGATAAAAGCAGGTCTAAGATCTGCTGCACATTGTTGGTGAGACATTAGGTTACCTCACAGTAGCTCTTTGGTGCATCCCAGCAACACTAACTCAACGTCCCTGATGTTTTTAATGGCTTACAGCAGCTCCAGTCAATTGTAATCGGATTGAGGCCTTTTTGTCTTGAAAAACTCTAATAATCTACTCCACTGGTCTCTTAGATGAGCTGTTTATTTTGGCAAACCATTCCTCACATACAGCCTTCCTCTTGCTGGATGAGCGCACCCATGGTATTTAACTAGTCTTGAACTCTATACTCTATACTCTATTTAAAAAATAAAAAAAACACTTTCATTTGTGCTTCATTACTTTCCAGACTTGTGCAACACGAGTTCCTCACAAGAGTGAACTGCAGTCGTAGGACATATCCCCTTTTAACTCTAAATCAGTTGTAATCAGCGGAACAGTAAACGCATGGATTTTACAGCAATTAAGTTGCATAATCATGCTGTCCAAGATTCTGCTCTTCTTCTTTCTCTGTGTGTTTCTGTTGTGTGTGTTAACATGCTGAGTGTCCCATGGGTGCAGGACCTGTCCGAGCAGCACCAGAAGACGCTGGCCCTGCTGAGGAAGCAGCAGACCCTGATCCTGGATGAGGAGCTGATCCAGTGGAAGAGGAGGCAGCAGCTGTCCGGCAACGGGGGTCCTCATGAGGGGGGGCTGGACGTCCTCCAGTCCTGGTATCAACTATTCTTACTTGTATTTTATATTATAGAATGCAGAGTTTATGGAATGGTTTTAACCATTGCATTTCTATTTCTGATGTAGAGGAGAATTTGAGTATTTCATTCAAGTTGTTGAGTTTGATACATTATAAATCTTATAAAGGCATAAATCAGAATCAGAAATGTAATAACAATTGTAAAATATTCCAGTTTTAAATGTGCTTGCATAGAACAACCAGCCTAATGTTCTCCGCTCCCCCTCCCTCTGCCCCAGGTGTGAGAAGCTGGCTGACCTGATCTGGCAGAACCGGCAGCAGATCCGGCGCTGTGAACATCTCACCCAGCAGCTCCCCCTGCCGGGCCCCATGGAGGAGCTGCTGAGCAAACTCAACTCTGACATCACAGACATCATCTCCGCCCTGGTTACCAGGTGAGAACCAGCTTCACTTAACCTCAGTGAAAAACATTAAGGAATGATGTTAAGAAGAACTCGTTAATACTTAAGGACAGAGAGCTGCTGCTGTATGATAAGCAGCAGATGCTATTCATACTGTATGCGTCTGTTTTTTTGGTACACTTATTGTGTTTACCCCTCTCATACAAGATACACACAAGGTCAGTTATAACCAGTTTGTTAATGTCTGGCTATCACCTTTTATCAGAGACTCAGTCTGTTCTATATTTATACTGCTGCTTAGCTACAGAATTACAACGCACAATTACTGCATTTAGTTTCTCTTTCACTTTTGAATTCATGTGCTTTCTCTTTCTCTCTCACACAATATTTCCAAATTATTGTGCAAATAATGACAATTACAACATGCACCTAAACACATATACTTTTTGAAAATATCATTGTGTTTAAATATATTTTCAACAAAAGCAAAATTGAAGTAGTTTTCTTTACAAGGAAAACAATGTATTTTTCATTTATCATGAACAAACTAAAAACATAACTGTACCACACTTCCCATTTCTTATCCCCATAAAGTAACAAATAAGAAAAGTGACTTGCGAATTAATTATTACTTTGCTGGAAATAAATGATAATATTTACAAGGAAGAGATGTCTCTTTCTCTCAAAACTTTATCAATAACAAGATCACTGCCTTTGAATTCCTCTTCTGTGAGAAAATGTCAAGCAGCCCATCATGTTGTTGTCATCTCTTCTCTTCAGCACCTTCATCATAGAGAAGCAGCCCCCCCAAGTGTTAAAGACCCAGACCAAGTTTGCAGCCACAGTGCGCCTCCTGGTGGGGGGGAAGCTCAACGTCCACATGAACCCCCCTCAGGTCAAAGCAGTCATCGTCAGCGAGCAGCAGGCCAAAGCTCTGCTGAAGAATGAGAGCACACACAGGTGAGGGCCATAGGGCCATGATGATGAAGGTACCAGTAAAACACATGGATAATGTTGAGCTAAAATGATTTGTTGCAGGTCTTTGGTTGGATATAAAAAAAACAATGATCGGAGTGGTGCTGTCATTTATTCTCTGTAGGCCGACCCAAACATTAGCAACGCAAGGGCTCCTTTCGACAAAAACATTAGGGTTTTTTCCATTGGATTTAGAAATATTGCAGAAAACAAGATCTGTTGTAAACACACTTTTATGATACTTACACACTTTATTATTTACAACGCTTTGTATGTGTTATGTTAAAGTGAAAAGGCAATCGGCAGAAGTAAAAGTCCAACGTGAGGATATAAACAACTACATAAAGGTCACATGGCTGCACATTACCACCGCTAATCTAAAGGTGGCTAATGTTCGTAGTGATAAAGTTTAGTAGACTCATTTAGTCACTTGATACACAGCATCTTTGGACATTCACCAGAGGGGTAGAACAAAATGTGTTCATCTCTTCAGCTTGTGTTAACCATAGATCCTATTTGAAGCATCTAGCCAATAACAGGTTCAAAAAACAGTTGACTTTGGGACGAGGGAACCAGAACTGGTACACTGCTAACTCATTTATGTGCTGTTGGACTCATTCCTGCACCACTCCTTTGCAGTCACAAAATATATGTACTAAGTTGACATCGCCATTTGTTGAAGGTTTTTCCTGCTACAGATGAGCTTTGTTCAATCCTTTCTAACAGCTTTATTTGCCTTGGCAGTGAAAGCAGTGGAGAAATCCTCAACAACAACTGTGTGATGGAGTATCACCAGGCCACCGGCACCCTCAGTGCACACTTCAGAAATATGGTATGCTCTGCTGGCTAAGTGTATGAATGACCTGACCACCAATATAACATTTTGTATTTATGTAATTGTTGAAATTGCATGCAACAATACCTTCATATATTTTGGTTTGTAATCCCATTCAGTTGACAACTATAGTATAGTATAGGGATAGTAGTCCGTATTGCGATTTCGATTGATTGTGCTGCCTTTTTGACAACGACATACAAAACTATTTCAGATTTGAAAACTTCAGAAAATAGAATTATATTGCTTACATGTCAGGGTATATTTGCAAGACAAATACTAGTTGTTCAAAAACTGGCCTGATGCACAGTTCCTCGCCAGAGAATGGAGATGCAGCTGCTTAGAGTGCACTGTAGGAGCTATGTTTGTTGTTATGAAGGTGTACGTGTGTAATCTCCTCTCTTGTCTTGGTACAGTCCCTGAAGAGGATCAAGCGTTCAGACCGCCGCGGTGCAGAGTCGGTGACGGAGGAGAAGTTCACGGTTCTGTTCGAATCGCAGTTCAGCGTCGGAGGCAACGAGCTGGTCTTCCATGTCAAAGTAATTGGATATTTGACCCTTTATTTACTTGTGAACAGCACTCGGTATCTTCCTAAGTAATTAAATGATCTGCCTTCCTCACTGCCTCTGTCTATTTTAGACTCTTTTCTCTAAGCCCTGTATTTAAAATGAAACATTTCACATTGATTAATAGTTATAGTAGGGATTCACCAATTGCACATGTCCAAGCCGATGCCAACACGTTTGTTTTTTCTCTTTATTTGTTTTGGTTGTTATTTATTCCCCTCTATTGCCAGTGAAACAAAACATTTGTATTATAGCACTACAGCCAACTAATTTATGTCATAATATATTATTACCTGTCTTTTCTTTTAATGATAATAAATATTTAATAGCATGATATTGCCTTTACTTCAATTTAATTATTAAATATCTAATACACAGAACAGGCTTTTAGTTCATGCATTTGTAAGGGCATGGGGAATAATGATGAACAGAGACTGAGGAGCCCACTTTTCGCGTCAACAAAAGGAGCAGATGAAAGATGTTTCTAACCCTAACTCTGCATTGAGAGCAGAGGCTAGTAACAAACTGCTGCATTGAGCCTAAACACCCAAATATGAACAATGCAGTTTCCCATAGTTAGACAGTAACCAGTACTAAGTTTAGACCCTCCAGAAAAACGCGATTCTGCGATCGCAGAATTTACCGCATAATCAGCAAAATGGCGCAGATTTGTACAAGGCCGCATATTTATCAAAAGGCCGCATAATCCCCGCATTTTTCCACACAAAGTTGAGAAAAAAAAAAGTTAACTCGTCTTGACGTGACGTCATTAGCTCGCGCATCACAGAATGTAAACAACACTGTATAGAGTGAACGTGTGGAGCTCACACGATAGAGAAAACACCAAGATGAAAAAATCTAATCCATCTCATTTACCGACGAACATTTCTACTAAAGACCGGGCAAAAAGTGGGGGGAAACTATTCTGCACCCCATGCAACTGTGTGTTGGAGCATAAGAGAAAATCGACGGTGACGACCCACTTTGATTCATTCAAACATTCGAAAAATGCTTTCTGCTGCTGCGGACAAGAAAGCCAAACAACTCACGTTCACCGAGGCATCAACCTCCAAAACCCTTTCGAGGGCTACAAGAAACGAAGTGAGTAGCCT